CTGCATCCAAATTTATCTCTTTAATGGAGGGTTAAAATCCAGTTGCCTGAATCCTCTTCCATTGTCTCTATTTTATGGCCAGTGTGTGCTCACCTAAGTTTTGACTGTTGCTGTTACATTTCTCTATATTTTCCCCTTATTGTTTGAAAGTCTTCCCACTCCAACAATGTATTTCAGTAATGGACTGTCTTCATTACCCTCTTCCCCCCTCTCCAGGACTGTAAATACTAAACCCTCTATATGGCTATAAAAACAAATGCATTGCTATCCATTGCAACTCAGACAATTTTAAAATCACCTATCTTTCTTCCTATTTAGGCAAATCTGAATGTATTTTTCAAGTAAGATTTTATGACAAGCACACACAGGCCTAGAAAAGGATTTTAGCACAGATGTGTATGTAATTCATTCCTTTCAGCCACTCAGTTTCAGCTCCATTCCAGAACATTGCTCTATAGATTTGTAGTGGGGGCAGTCAGCTGAAAGTGAGAGCATGAAGGACCAAATACAGCCTAAGCAAATCAGGCCTCTTATATGATTTGGGCAGAAAAAACACAGTTTATACAACCTCAGCAGTGATTATCAGATACTATCAGCTGCTGGGAACATGTGCAGAAGCAGAACTCTAAGCAATTAGCTAGCTTGCAAGTTGAACATGAAGGCACACAATGAGCTGCGATGCTCCCAGGGTTAAGGGGACACATGAAAATGTGCCTCTGCTTATTTGCCTCAAATAGGCTGATTCCTACCAGGCCTAGTCTGGTGAGAAGCGCTGGAAAACATGGATACTGCTTCTGATTACATTCAATCAATACAAATGCTGTTCCAGGCTGTTGGTAGTGTTATTTGTTCTGTAGTGTTGTAACAGATGCCAGAATGTGTCCCTTATGCAACATGAGTAAGAAAAATCCTCAAAATTTACACGTAAGTTAGATTTAACAAAAGTTTCACTATACTGTATTTACTTACCTCTTACATTTCAGTTATCCATTACATTTTCTTAAATAAAAACTGGCATTGGTACATATTTTTTGTCAGTTTCATGAATATCCTGCAGTATGTATCAGTAAGCTTGTTACCTTTATGTATAAAATAACCTCAGGAAAAAAACTCTTCTCTTTTCAAACCCTGATGCTCTACCCTATCAGTCTTCAATACTATTAAGTAAGGAAAAGTGAGAAAACTACTCACTTCCTTCCCCAAATACTTTTTCCCCACTGATGTATCTGTAAATTCCTTTGTAATTCCCCATTTCCTTGGTTAGCACAAAGCAATTAAACTAATTCATCCTCTGTGAACCTCAGTTGACTCAGTGTCCTTAGGTGTCATTACATCTTTTGTTTTTTCTCTGACATTTTTTCTTAACTTCAGTTCTTCAAATCTACACCTGGAGCTTATTGTGTTCCACAGAAGTTGTCAGTCATCCTTCAACTGTAGACTTTCTGGCTTGTGCAGCTATTTTGCACACTGATGGAATCTTGGCTCCTATGGGACCAGGATCCTTGTCCTCCTTCCTCGAAATCATTTTTACAGTGATTAATTTAAGTAGCATTTGTGCACAACTTCCAGTTCCTTCATCAGTAAGAAATACTACATACAGAGCAGGGTTTTTCTCTATGGGACAAGAACAGTAATGGTTTATCAGAGCACTCTGGATAAGGCCTTGCTGCCTCTAAGGAAGACAAGAGGAAAGGTAAACTCCTTGCATCTTTCCTGAACAAGGCATAAATCTACTCTGCACTTGTCTTTTTTTCATAACACCTTGGCCCTCTGCATACTGTCCAGCAGGCATCTTCTGCATTGTGACATTGAACCGCATATTCACTATCCATTTTTTTGTCTACTAAGGCCTTGGAGAGTCTGTGTTAACTTGGGGTGCTCCCACAAATATGCTATGAAGTACACCACATCGTAGCTCCAGTCTCCCAAGTCCTATCTGGGCAAAACAGAGCCCTAAGAACCCCAACCCCCTCAAATGTATTTTATATTCAAAAAACGTAACGCTCCTAGGTTCTGGTATTTGCTCCTGGGACTGCCTTACCAGCCATAGAATCATAAAATCATTTAAGTCAGAAAAGACCTTTAATATCATTGAGTCCAATTCTTAATAAGCAGCTACGGTTATTGCCAGTCACAAGAAGATGACCCTAGAAGTGAAGAGGAAGTGCTCCCAGAGCTGCTAAAACCTCTGTGTTCAGGAGGGACAGCAAGTCCCACTGAACCCCTGAGCAGGAGGGTGCATGTCCCACTGTTGCAGGCAGCAGTATCAAGAGCCACCAGCCTGGTGAAGAAAGTAGGGGAATGCCAGAAGCACGAAGATAATTTCAATGATATATAATGATATTACAGTCAATGATATATAAACCAAACATTGAAACATCTGTGTTGATATTGCTTTACTGGTATTTGTAAATACTTCAGCTGGTGCCATTTCATTAACCAGCAGTTAAAGTTCAGTTAGCATTAACTAAAATATTAAATTTCAGCACATGTTGATACCCAATAATTCCTTCAAAAGTGTTTCACAGCTGAGGAATTGCCACTCTTCTTAAACCTGTCATCTTCTTGGCCAAGCCCTACACGTAGTCATGGATCTGGTAGCACATGAATTATGCTCACTACCTACCCTTACTTTCATCTGTGTAAGTCAAAGTGTATGGTTTTGGTCCAACACCTCGCAAAGTTCCTGCTTTGACAGTATTTGCTGTGATAATTTACAATTCTGTCAATTTCTGCACTTTGCAATTTAGCTACTGCCCATCTATTCTGGTCGTGACTTGAAGTGTTTCTCCTCTCTCCTAGATGAAAAATTGTAGTATAGACCTTGGCTATTGCCAGCAACTGCACAGAGAAAGCTGAATATTTTATCAGCCAGACATTTACTTGCAAGAGCTGCACTCTTACTCACTTTTTAGGTTACTTCTGTACTGTTTGTATGCAATAAAAAAGTCAACAAACTTTAAACACATTTAGTAAGAAGACCAGCATACAAGCAGTAGAGCAAAGTCTAATCTCCATTTTCCACAATTATTCCAAAAATAGAACAAAAATACAAGGAACTGAGAATTTTACGCTCACAGCTAAGATGATGGTGCCATTTCAAAATCCATTTCAAATACTTCTGGGCTGGATGCATGCTTATACATGCACAAAACAGAAAGCTACCACTACACCTTGCAAATGAAAAAATTCATTTGCATTTTAAACCACCACCAAAATAAAATCTCTATTTGCAGCCATCTCCTTTTCAAAAGCTTTGTATATAAAATAGTTATGACTCTCAAAGCTGCAGAAATCAACTATTATTTCTGACCAACAAGTCTGCCACAGTGGTCAAAATAAACAGGAAACAAACGGTTCTGCTGCTAGCTTTCCCATGGATATCCACTCTTCCATTTGCAATATGGGAGAAAAGAGAATAACCCTATTTGTAAGGGGTTTTGGCATCTACTCATATATAGGTATTGTCATAGCTACAGATCACTTTTAACACTGGGTAAACCAGTCAAAACAAACATCTTCTAACACTTTATTTCCAATTCTAAGGCTGGGCATCCATCCATCTGCTAATATTCATAGCTTTCAAAAGGAGAAAAAAAAGACAAATAAATTGTACCTAATTTCAGGGAAAACTCACATATTTTTAACCAGGCGTGATCAGATCTATTACCAGTGATTTTACCTAAAGGAGTAGACAAATGGGTTGAAATTATTAAAAACCAAAATAAAAAGGACTGACAGAACAACAAAACACCTGTGAGGGTGGTGAGGCACTAGAACAGGTTGTACAGAGAAGCTGCAGATGCCCCATCCCTGGCAATGCTCTAGGCCAGCTTGGATGGGGCTCTAAGCAACCTGGTCTGATGGAAAGTTCCCTGCCCATGGCAGAGAGGTTGCAACTAGGTGATCTTTAAAGTCCTTTCCAACACAAACCATTTTATGATTCTATGAAAACTAGTGTAGCATTTTTAAACCCACGAATCTCAAATCAATAAGCATTCAGTACCAAACCCTCACGTTGTAAAAGGGAGGTCTTTTAAATGATACCATTTAACTGGATGTTTCAGAAGGTTCTGAGCAAATCTTTCTGGGCATGGAATGAGAGTTAAAAGTAATATACAAGAAGCAAATCATGAGTATGGTCAATTTTCAACTTGACAAATATTAATAGTAAAGTGCTCTATGGATTTGTACTGAAATTGTTGTTTTACATATTCTTTCATCTGGAAAAAGAGACAAATAGTCCACTGTTAACATCTGCGGCTAACAAAAATTTTCAAGCCTATTTTCAGGGCTAACAAAAATTGTGAGGAATACCAAAGGCCAAACAAAGAAAGAGGAAGGCTGATGATTAACTCAAAATAATGAACCGC